ATATATATATATATATATATATATATATATATATATATACACACACACACACACATATATAATTTTTTTTTAATTTATATTTTTTCCAACTTTATTGATTATAAACAATTTGAAAAAAAAATTACAAAACTTAAAAAAAATGTTCGACGATACAAACATGATATTTTTGATAAATTTGTAAATAAATATTTATTACAATAATAATCGTTGAAGTTGTTTATATAAACATGAAAAAAAATCATAACATAATCTTAGATTTTTTTGCCAAATTTTGTAAAATATTATTTAATACAGTATCGTCGATTTCTCTAGAAAATATTTATGGTACGTTTTTAATAGATTTAATTGAAAAAATCAAAGTTTTTTTTCCGTCCATTTATATATAAAATTCTTTGATGACTAATTATAATGTTTACTTATAACTTTTCAACCAAAGTTATTGGTTTTTATCAAATACATACATTATATCATACTATTTTTATTTTTATTTTTTATACAATAATCAATAAAAGTTGATGTAGATTCCTTAATTATTTATAACGCCATAAAAGTATTAAAAAATCACTTTTGAAGTTTAAAAAAAATCAGTTTATTTATATTTCAATTTATTTTAGTAGCCCGTTGTGACATCCCCAAAAATCACAGTTAGAAAAGACCGGTTTCATTTATGTTTTTAGAATAATTTAAGAGTAAATCCTTTTGATTTAAAAGAGTTACCGAATTTGTTCCTAAAAACAAAATGTGATAAAATAATATTTACCAAAACATTTCATAAAGAAATGTATTTTCATTATATAATCAAAACTCGGGATGTCATGTTCCGATACATACCATAAAGCATAAACGATAACATTACAAGTCATTTAAGAAATATATACATATACAAACTTGTAAACAAAACAACTTAATGAATCATTCATCTTATGCCCTTGCGCCAATTCCTGTAATACAAATAAACTGAGTGGGTCAGACTTGGGAGCCTGATGAGCATATAGGGTTTTCAACCCACAATAAATAATTAAATTAATTGTCATCAACCAACAATAACCCAATTACCCATTCCCGTTATTCTGACTTTACGTCCCTAAAATAACTAAGACAAGGGACCTAATGTAAGAATATTTCATCGGGGCGACAACACATGCTTCGGGGGTTTCCCAACAATATATGTCAAATAAGGCAACCATGAGAGGGATGGAGTATAGCGAATGAACACCCAAGTTCATTAACACCTACAGGTGGCGAGCCTGCTAGCGTTCCACAAGACTGTTTAGAAAAGTCTGTGGTCGTCATCTAAACTCCGCTAGGTAACTGAATCAAAAACAACATCGAGGCCTCTCATCTGCTTATCACACATCAACTATCTACCCATGTTCTACCCAACATATTAGTAGATAAAAATATATACTTTTATACATAGTTTAAAACATGTATAGCTTTCTCATTCAATACATATTCCAAACAACAGGTGAGACACATACACATAACACGTATTTCATAGAGAATAAATCATATCTATAAGATTGAAGAAAGTGAATATACATTCACACATATAACAATAAATTATACACACAACATGTATTTCGTATTAAATACTTCATAATTATGCGTTAGAAGAAAGTAACTACACACTCACTTGATCAGAAGATGATCGGAAAGCACTAAGACTTTCGCATACGAACTCCGTTTTCGACGTTCTTTATATCGACGCGTAGGTGAGATTATGATCTACAACTCTCGTTTAGACTCCGTTGGCTAATTTTGACTTTATTTTTAATATATTATAAATATATTTCTTATATATTATTTTTAGTAGGCTGGAACAGGAAAACTCCGTTATAAATTCATAACTTCTTCATCCGACGTCCGTTTTCGCCTATCTTTTTATCGTTTCACTACTATTAACGAGATCTTCAATTCTCGTTTAGATTGTTTCGGCTAAAAACCGCTCGATCTCAAATCGAGTATTCGGGTTGCATACTGCTAAGTCGAAACTTTAGAAAATCATAACTTCCTCATACGAAGTCAGATTTGGGTGTTCTTTTTATGCATGCTCTCGATTTAACAAACTCTTCAACTTTCATTTAGATTACTAAGGCTAGATATCGCTCTATCTTAAATTCGTATTTTACGTCATTCGACATCGTGCCGGTTCTGTCGCGAAACTTCGACAGATCATAACTTATTCATTATAACTCGGATTTCGGCATTCTTTATATATTCGGAAACCTCGTTTCAACTACTACAACATTATCCAAAGATACCAGCTTTATCTACTACTTTATTTTGACGCTTATTTTTATTCTTAATTCATTTAAGTCACACAACTAAGCACAAAACATATAATACTCAAATAATACATTCTTATTATTTCATGAAGAGGCCTTTAGATCAATCGATATATCAAACAAAGACAATAAATAAGAACAAGAGAAATTCACGAAGAAAAACTTTCACTAAGAAAGATAATCTCACAAAGAGATTATCGTGTGCACAAAGCGACAATTAGGGTTTATGAAAAGTTACTATTCATAAACCTATACAAAACAATATATACTGCTATTCTAGACGATCCCTACAATTCAGGGATACGCCAGCTAATAAAACAAGATAACTAAGGAAACAGGATAAATACAAGATTAGTTACAACGTACTGAATAGACAACTATTACAAACTAAACTGCCGACGTGCTGGTGCTGACGCTGAGTTTGTTTCAAACATTATCATATTCCAAGGCTTAACCTTAAAATCTCCCCCAATATGATGATGTTCAAAACAAACTAAATTAAGACACCCCTGGAAAGGAATTCTTCATACTCAGCTTCAGCTTCAACTTTAACGGGCCAGTAAGGACTGTCCAGCAACTCCTGTCTTCTGTTCAGCAACTCCATGGCGATAAGAATGTGAAACTCTCTGGATAAATCTTGATGACTCATGCACATTTGCCTTAAGCCAACAAGGTGAGTGGTTAGAGCTTTTGGGATCTCAGTAGTGCGCTGAAAGCACATCCTCCTGTTTTTGTCAAGGTAGTACATTCCGTGTTCAGGAGCTGAGATGAATTGATGCTGAACCGGATCAACACCAAGAGGAAGAGAATTATTAATCACACCAGTACCAAAGTCTAGAACCAATACATCTTCGCCATCAACATGAAACTTGGTCTTTCGAGATCTAGGAACTGATGACCTTTGGCCTGGATGCTGAGGTCGTTCTTTAGGAACAAGATCCAGACGCTGAACCTTTTTGATCAGCAGATGAAGAGCACAAGTCAGTTCGGAAGAATGAGCTGAGGTTTGCTTGGATGATAGATAGAGCAGTTCCATCCATTCCGAATACCCATATCTGATCAGCTCATCCCTTTTTACAACTTCAGTATAAGAGTGCTGAGAACCTTGACGAGTGATCAGCAACGTAAGGATTTTCTCGCTTCGAGGTTTATAAGCCTTGACCTTGATGATCTTGTCTCCACACATTCGATGATCAAAAACATCTTCAAATCTCTTTCGATCAATCCGGTCAAGAACACTGTCAGCCTTAGGTTTACTAGAGCTAGTAGGAGGTTGAGAAGACTGAGCCTTGGACTGAAACTCCAGGAACTTCTGCATCTGAGCTTCAAACGATCCCTTGGCCTGAAGTTTGTGCTGAATAAGAGATTCATCAGCTTAAGCAATGTTCTTTAGAAGCTGAGCTTGATTAGCTTCATCAAGAATTTACTTGACTTGGTCAGGGGACATGTTCCATTCAGAGGCAAGATTTGAAATACTGACATTGGACTTGAGTTTCTTCACAGACGAAGAATTATCAGTTTGAGAATGATCCAAGTCAGTATCTGCTGCCTTCCGCTTTCGAGACAGCGGATGAGATTCTTCACTAGCAACGTCCGAATCCTCTCCTTGGACCGGAATGATAGGATCAGCAACAGGGTTGGTTAAAATAGGACGCGATTCTTCAAGGTCATCTGAGCTTTCTTGCTGAACTGGAATGAGAGGATCAATAAAGTTCATGTCAAGAATTTGACATTCAACATCAGCTTCATCATGCTCTTCATCATGCTCACTGTCTTCCACATACTTTTCAGTAGGTGCTGGACTATTAGGCCCTGCAAAATCAGAGTCACGAATGACAGGTTCTGTGTTTGGTTCACCATCAGCATGAGTGCTTGGTTCATCATCAGCATGATCATTTGGTTCACCATTAGCATGATCATCAGCGTCAGCATCATCATCAGTATCTCCCCCTTTTTGAGCATCATCAGATTTGGGACTAGAGGGAGGAGTAAGTAAGAGTACCTCCTTGATTTGTTGAACATCAGCCTCAATTCGAAGCAGACGCTGACTGATGTCCCGAGTTAGTGACATCAGTTCTGAAAATGCTGAAGCCGGAAGTTGAACCATTGAGGAACCTGGGGCAACTGGAGAGCTAGGCGGCATCCTTGGAGAGAAGTGATGAGCTGCTGGTGACGGATGCTCCCCCTGAGACTGATGCTCCCCTTGTGTGGGATGCTCCCCCTGAGGCATGAAATCCTGTGGTGCTGAGGAGACTTTGCCAGTGTTTGAGATGACGTGGTGAGAAAGTTGAGGGGAGAAATGTTCACCGTCATGATGGTCCACCTCTTGATCATCATGATCCATATGATTACCATCAGTACCTCCTTCATCAGTGTCAACGGTGAGAGAGGGCACAGTGTATGGATTCGCAATCCATTCTCGCATCCTATCTGAGATACCAATGTCAGTATCCAAAGGATCATCCTGATACATACGAACTGACATTCGAGGGCAATCCAGTGTGGAAAGGGAACATGATCAGCACGCACATTTGCACGTAGAAGCTGAATAAGCTGATCAAAGAAAAGAGCCCCATAATCCAGTCTTTTGTTGAGAAGAAGGGAGCAGACAACTTGTTGCTCATAATTGCTCAGTTGGTCACCACTGCAAGACTTGTGACCCACACACTTGCATAAAGCACCAGTGAAGAACTTCCAGCCTGGGGTCATGCACTAACGCAGAATAAGAGCTGATCGAGTGCCATCTTTTGAATGATCATACCCCAATTGATCAAACATGCATTTACATCTTTCAATAGTAGGAGGTTCAGAAAAGGGTTCGAAAATTGGTAACCTTAAAGCGGCACTGAGAAGTTCTGCGGTGATGAAGACAGAGTGTCTACCATGGCCAATGGTTCCGGTGATGGCATTGTTTTCTTCGTTGACTGTTGCAGTGTAGTAGAACTCACATATTTGTTCAGGGAAGAACTCGGATGGTACATCACTGATGGCATATCGAAGGCGGCAAGAAGCCAAGAAATTTACGAAATCATCGAGTCCAAGACCTCGATGCACTTCTGGAATGTCAGGGTTGAAGACGACATTGGTGGCCTTGATGTGAATGGGAAGAGGAGGAGAGTTTGGGGCAGGAATGACCCTTCGAGAGGTTGAGGAGTATGTGAACAGAGATGCCGCCATTTGAGAGTATTTTAGAGTTCTAGGGTGTTGAGAGAGGTTCAAGAATTTTGGGAGGAAAAGATAAACCGAAGAGGAGAGAGGTTTAAATATGGAATGAAAAGTTTTTTTTTTTAAAGGTAATGATTATCTTGATTAAACAGATGATGATTATCTTCATTAATAAGAACGGCGCATCGTAGAACCTGTCAGAATATAAAGTAGCCGTTGGAAAAAAGAGTCGTTGACTGAAGGTGAAGCGTTAATCAGTGTTTGCGGAAGCACTGAGCTTAGTGTCACAAATGTTACATGCTGAAAATGTTTCTCCGTCAATTCGAAGTACAGCTTGCTTATTCAGGGTTAGCAAGGTGATTGGTGCGTGTGATAGATACTAGTTACATTATCTAACCATCGGCACCGAGTGTTGTGACTTCATCAGTGAGTGGTTTATCTTACTGAATCATTAGACACTAAATAATAGGAGGGTAAAGAATGGATTGTTGCGTGTGATAAACCTTGGTGTTTTGGTCTAACCATCGGCAAAGATTTTTATACTCTCATCAGCGTGTGTTTTGGCACACTGAATCACAGAGTCAGTGTTAGATTGGTGAGAAGAGGTAGTTGCGTGTGATAGATCTTGGTGTTTTGATCTAACCATCGGCAAAGAGTTTCAAGTCGTTATCAGTGTATGGTTTAATATAGTGAATCATTCAACTTTTATTTAGAAGATTTGAAGAAGAGATAAGGATAAGAAATCAAACCAAAGTGCTCAGTAGCAAATATCATCAGTATGTTATCATCAGCACAATGTACATCAGCTTATAAGACAAAATCAAACATTAGCACAATTAAACATCAAAATCAATTACAAGGAAATCATTCCCAGCTCTCTAATAATGTGAGCAGTTGATTGAGAATCCAGTGCCTTTGTGAAGATATCAGCAAGTTGCTCCGAAGTCTTGACATGTTCAAGAACAACTTTTCCTTTTTCAACATTATCTCTGATGAAGTGATGTCTGATCTTGATATGCTTTGTCTTTGAGTGCTGAACAGGATTTTGTGTGATCTGAATGGCACTGGTGTTGTCACAATAGATGGGAGTCTTTGAGAACTTGAACCCATAGTCGAGAAGCTGATTTTGAATCCATAAGAGCTGAGCACAACATCTCCCAGCGGCAACATACTCAGCTTCTGCAGTTGAGATGGCAACTGATGTTTGCTTCTTGCTAGACCAGCTGATGAGACGGTTGCCAAGGAAGTGAAATCCACCAGATGTACTCTTTTTGTCTAAATTGCATCCTGCATAATCTGAGTCAGTGTATCCATAAAGTTCAAATGTTGAGTCGCGAGGATACCACAGTGCAAGGTTTTGAGTTCCCTTTAAGTATCGAAAAATAAGTTTGACAGCCATGAGGTGAGATTCTTTGGGATTGGCTTGGAATCGAGCACAGAGAATGGTTCCAAACATGATATCAAGACGACTTTCCGTGAGATACAAGAGGGATCCAATCATTCCTCGATACAGAGAGTGATTGACATCAGTTCCAGTTGGATCAGCGTATAGTTTATCAGTCTTAGATACCGGGGTAGATGCTGGTTTGCAGTCACTGAGAGAATACTTAACAAGCAGGTCAGAGATATATTTACTTTGGCAAATGGAAATACCTGTCTTTTGTTGCTGAACCTCAAGACCTAAGAAAAAGGTCATCTTTCCCATCATGCTCATTTCGAACCTTTTAGACATGATTTCAGCAAATTCATTGCTCAGTGTCTCATTTGGAGAGCCAAAAATAATGTCATCGACATAAATTTGAACAAGAACCATATCTGAGCCTTTGCTTTTGACGAAGAGAGTGTTGTCGATTGCTCCTTGTCTGTATCCATTTTCAAGCAGATACGATGTCAGCGTCTCATACCAAGCCCTAGGGGCTTGCTTCAGTCCATAAACAGCTTTGTCTAACCGGTACACGTAATCAGGATGATCTTTGTCTACAAAGCCTGGGGGCTGACTTAGGAAAACTTCTTCTTCTAACACACCATGAAGGAATGCTGTTTTCACATCCATCTGATAGACAATGAAGTTCATGTAGGATGCGTATGCGAGAAACAGTCTGATAGCTTCAATGCGAGCAACTGGGGCAATAGTTTCCCCATAGTCGATGGATTCAATTTGAGTAAACCCTTGAGCCACAAGCCTTGCCTTGTTTCGAGTAATGATTCCATCTTTATCAACCTTGTTACGATAGACCCAACGAGTTCCAATGATAGTCTTTCCAGATGGCCTTGGGACAAGATTCCAAACTTTGTGCCTTTCAAACTCATTCAGTTCTTCTTGCATGGCCTTGATCCAATCAGCATCTTGAAGAGCTGTGTGTACCTTGTCAGGTAAGATCATTGAAACAAAGTTAACATACATGCAAAAGTTATTAAGTACACTAGATCTGGTTCGGACACCATCATGAATATTCCCTATAATTCGATCAACAGGATGATCCCGATGTACAATGACTAATGCTGATTTTGGAGGAATAGATACTGACACATTATCAGTTTCAGGAGAATCTTCAGCTTCAAGAGTTTCATCAGCACCTAATGAATCATCTGCGGATGTGGCTGCAATATCTTGATTCAAGGAACATGGAACTGGAATGATAGGATCAAAGGAATCAATCTTATCTTTAACAGAAGGAGCTTCATTGAATGGACAAGAGAGAAGCTCTTGAAAGATAGAAGGAGAATGAGTGACTTTTTCATCAGTGTATGATTCCTCATCAAACTTCACATGAATGGATTCTTCAATACATTGCCTGTTCACATGAAAAACACGAAAAGCCTTTGAAATAGATGAGTATCCAACAAAAATGCCTTTATCAGCTTTAGGTTCAAACTTGGATCTTGGGTCACGCTGATTTAGAATATAACAAATGCATCCGAACACATGAAAAAAGGATACATCTGGTTTTCGATCTTTCAGCATTTCATATGAAGTCTTCTTGTGAATCCTGTGAATTAGAGATCGATTCTGAGTAAAACATGCTGTATTGACAGCTTCAGCCCAAAAGGACATGGGAAGACCAGCATGTATCATCAAGGTTCTTCCTGCCTCAATCAGTGTTCTATTTCTTCATTCAGCAACACCATTTTGCTGAGGAGTACGAGGAGCTGAGAAGTTTTGTCCAATTCCTTTATGATCACAAAATTCTTCAAGAGTTGAGTTTCGGAACTCAGTACCATGATCACTTCTCAGTTGCTTGACTTTAAGACCTGTCAGTGTCTCATTTTTACGAATCAGTGAGATAATTTCCTGTGCAACATGACTTTTCTTCTTCAAGAAAACTACCCAAGTAAATCGAGTGTACTCATCAACGACCACTAGAGTATACTTATTTCCACCTAGAGAACGAGCAAGAATAGGTCCAAACAGATCCATGTGGAGTAGATGACGAGGAACTGATATACTGGAACATGACTTGGGTTTGAAAGAGGACTTGGTTTGTTTTCCTTGTTCACACACTGAACACATCTTGTCTTTCACAACGCTGAATTTGGGGAGCCCTCTAACTAGATCTTGATTGGAAATCTTAGATAGATTGTTGAAGTTCAGATGAGAAAACCTTTTGTGCCAAATCCAGTTGAGATTCGTCTGAGACTTTGTAAAGAAACATTGCATCAGTGCCTTGTCACTTGAGAACATGTCAAGAACATATATGTCATCTTTTCTACTTGCTGAGAGTACGATGTTCTTGTCAGTGTTTACAACTCTTCCTTCCCTTTTTGTAAAGTGAACTTCATAGTCAGCATCACACAATTGACTGATAGAAATAAGATTGTGTTTGAGACCCTTAACATATGAAACGTTTTGAAAAACCACGTTGTTGCATTTGATATTTCCATATCCCTTAGTGAGCCCCTTTCCATTGTCTCCATAGGTAACTGCAGGACCAGTTTTCTTAACATAATTTTCCAGGAGAGACTTTGATCCTGTCATATGCCTTGAGCAACCACTGTCTAAGTACCAAAGATGCTCCTGACCCTGCAGTGCTGAGAAACTAGTTAGAACACACTGACCCATTCGAAGATGGGTCATTCACAAAGTTATTTGAAAATAAATTATAACACTCCTTAGGAAGACAGTTTAAAGAGTTTGACTTAAGAGTCCATTTTTCATTCCTAACTTTAATATTTTCAGCTCTTGAGGATGATTTATCAAAAGAACATTCACTGATCTTGTGAGAGGAATCACCACATCTGTAACACATTCTAGTTCCAAAGTTCTTCTTGGTGTGCAAATTTTTTGATTTAACACATTTTGATATGAAAGATTCACCAATAGAGCTTTCAGTCCTTTTGTTAATCACTGAGTCATGACTGAGATCAGTGTCAGAAAGAATTTGATCAGTGTTAGGAGATGAACTGTCAGTATCTGATTTTGACTTATTCTCAGATGGATTGCAATCAGAGAAGTGCTTGAGTTGTTCATGAACAGCATGAAACACTCCATTAGAGATGGGAAAAGCAATAATATTCTCAGTTAGAGGAGTTGGTCTAACAAGATGTGCAGGATAAGATGTAGGATCAATTCCGGTAATTTCAACATTACACTCAGCAATACCATCAGAATTAATAGTACAATATTCATCAATTAAACTTTGATTAATAAAGGAATTACTGACAAACTTATTTTTGAAATTGTTTTTCATCTCATTCATGGAATAGACCTCAGATTCATTTTCTTGTGATTTAAAAACTTTTTCAGCTTCGGCAAAATTACCCCCAAGAATTTTTTCACAAGAATGAGGAATTTGAGCTGAGATAATATAATTGACATTCTTATGAGATTTTGCCCAAGTGTGGAGCACAGTTTGTTCTTTAATCAAAAGATTTTTAACATCGTCAATTTCAGCAGACAAGGATGAATTTGACAAACTGGTGATTCTAAGATTTTCCTGAGTGGACTCAATAATGCTATTTTTTATGGATATGTCAGTTTCAAGAAGATCAATTTGATTTTGCAAATTTCTTAT